TGGTGGAGTCCCCATCCCTGGAGGTATTTAAAAGACGAGTAGATGAGGCACTTAGGGACATGGTTTAGTGGGCATGGTGGTGTTGGGTTGACGGTTGGACTCAATGATCTTAGAGGTCTTTTCCAACCTCAATGATTCTATGATTCTATGGGGTCCTGCACATCTTATGCTGCTGAATACTCAGATCATGCCCTCAGAACCAACCCTTCACCAAGCATCCCACGGCTGGCAGGAGAAGCAGCAGGAAGCAGCAGTTCACCCACCCTGACTGGTGAAGGCAGCCACCCACCACTCTGACTTGTGTCAAACAGAAGAATGGCAAAAAACAGTGAAAGCCTCCCAAGCCCGTCACTGAGTGTAACCTGTATAAAACCACCCACTCACACAAAGATCTTCACTACATCTGCCCAGATCCAGCTAATGAGATGAATCCCACATGAAGTAGTGAATAAAAGTTATGTAGGCTTTGCTGTATTACTGTCACTTGAGTTAACTGTTTGGAACTGTAATGGGACAGGGATGCCCAGGTACTTTGCTTGTTTGTCAAGGATACAGTTGCTGAGGTTGATGAACTTCTGTACCTGGTGGCTCAATCTGTTCATAACTCACTGAAAGCTGTCATCTGGCAAGGCTGTGGTCACACATTCTGATTGCAAGTAACAATCCACGTGATAAACCAAGGAACAATGGGCCAACACATCTGTGTGGTGCAGTCAACAACTCAAGCGCTCTTGAAAACAATATTGTAAGAATTCCTAGTTCTGCATTCAGAGATCTCTGCCGGGAGATCAAGCTCAGGGACACCCAAAGAAAAGCCTGAGCCTCATCAACTCCAAGAAGACCCTCAAAGACTGGGTGGCTGTAGATCAACATGCATGTTATGGACAAGGACAGCAGAATAACTGCAGGCTGTGATCCAACAATCCCGACATGTAACCTCTAATCAGGAGATCAGAGGATGCATCTGTTGTCACACTGACCTACCTCATCGCACGAAGACATTTATAAGCTATTTATATTTTGCATTTTGTATATTTTAATTGATGTTTAAAGACAAGAAAGTTCCCCATAACATTTGCCCAAGAAACTGCCTGTTTAAATTGAGACTGTTGTAAAGAGTTTCACCCACAAAGGCTTGAAAAGCTTAGATAGCTCAAGACAACCCCATCCCTTGTAAACAAAATCCAGTTTATAATGGAACACACCCTGCAAAGACAGAACATTTAATATATCAAATGCAAAGAATAAAATGGTGTAGGACATGGCTTGCTCAGCACAAGGACAGCAGAAATTTATATTTAATTTTTCAAACGTATTTTAAATATGGATCCTATATTGCAAAGCACTTTAGCTTCTTAAGGCAGAAACTAAAAATGCATTATCACAAAAGCAAACCTATATCTCAGGATATTAATGAAACAAGATCATTAAAAATTATCTATCTGCTAATTCAAAGACTCATCAAACAAAATAAAAGAAA